TCTAAGCTTGTTTGATGCTTTTTTTGTTGCTATTACTTTTCTTTAGTATTGTTTGGAGTGTTTTTTATTGCTGTTTATGCAGAAAGTTAATTTTTTTTTCCACTAATTTTGTGTCTAGGTGATCATTAGAGAGAGTTGTAATGTTTGACTAGTGGTGTTGTAAATTTTATTATAAGAAATTTTATTTTAATATATATGTTTATTTGTATTTTTTATTTCTCTTCTCTTTTATCAGATTGAAAACTTAAACTTCATTATGTTCTCATGCTGTTGTTGTTGTTGATCATTAAAATTGTCTTGATCTTTGGTTGAATCTTTTGTTTCAAATTTATAACTAGTTGGTGTAACTAATATTACAATGATTTTTGTTCTTTAATATAATGTCTAATTCTTCAATTTTTATTATCTAAGATATGATATAAAGTATCATATATATTCTTTCTAGTAAAAACATATTTATAAGATTGCTAAGTAAAAACATACTGTGTTATATGCTTGCCAAAAACTCCAATAAATTAACTTTTTATACAAGGAATTGTAACATATTATGACTTCACAGAACTACTATTATTTAATCATTATTATTAAATTATATATACTAACATTTGTTTAAACTTATCGATAGCTTTTTAAGATAATATTACAACACCAGCTTAAGAAAGTTTATAAGAACTATGCACTACATGTTTATAATAAATAAACTCTTATTTATTTTTAAAAAACTTGCAAAAACATAGTATACAAAAAACTCAAATATTTGTTGCTACAAAGATTGATGCTACTTTTTTTAAAAAATGTATATACATTGTATGACAATAAAGCTTATATTTATTTTTGAATGTTTTATATTCACAAAAAGTATAAGTAAAATTAATCATGTTTGTAGTCAGCTAAAGGCAATAAGTAGTATAAATCTATTTAGAATTAAAATAATTAATATAATAAATTTTAAATAATAAGCATAATAAGCATTATAAAAATCTATAAGAAATTTTATTTAAAACAATAAAATCTAATTACTGTAATTTTATCTTTTATATATATTATAAGTAAAAGATTAGTTTTTGAGCTAAAAGATTAGTTTTATATATAATATATTGTTTTATTTACATTTTAGAAATATTTTTGTAATATTTTAAGATTATATTTTGAGTAGTTAAATTATATAATTTGATTTTACTATAAAGCAAATTTTTTGAGATATATTTGAATGTCTCAATTATATAGATTTATTAATATATATAGTTTATATACAGAATGTTTATTTAATAAATATTTAACTTCTTAGTTCTTGTATTAAAGTTGAAATAAAAAAGAAGCTTTTTAACAATTATTTAGAACTAATTCAAAACAGTTCTTGGAATTTGTTGAATTAATTAAAATAAAATAGTTTTTTTTTTGAATAATTGTTACTATTGCTGAGAATGTGTTTCAGTATTATTCTTCTTCATTTAAGGTCAATATTTTTGTTTGTATATTGAATTTAAATAAAGCAGAACAATTATATATTACTATTTATAAATAAATTTATTATTAAAATATATTTATAAAGTATAAAATACATATTGTTTAATACTAAAGAAATCTATATTCTTTAAAATTTTTATCAATAAAAAACAACAAGTCTTTAATTTTAAACTATTATATAGATTTATTAGCTTGATTTTCTTCTTTAAAAAAATATAAATATTTATATTCTAATTGTTTAGGATTCACAAATATGATATGAACAACAAGTATATAAAGAAGGTTATACAAATAATACAGATGATGAACTATCTGAAGTTTCTGTTATAGAGTGATTAAATAGTTTAAAAAAATTTGTTAGTTTTTTTGAACAACAAAAAGTAATAATTTTAATGTAAAAGATTTAAAAGTTTTTAAGAAATATATATTATTAATAAGAAGAAAATATATAAAATCAATAAACTAAAAATCAATTTGTAACTTTTTTTTACTTATATAATTAATAACAGTTTAATTTTTTTCAACCAATTTTTTTTTTTAAGCATTTTTTTTTGATATTTTACATTATTAGTTTATATTATACTTGATTATTCAATTTAATGTTATGGCAATTCTGATATCAAATCAGTTATTATAGTCAATAACTGTAAATAATGCAATATTAATCAGAATCAGAGATAAATTACATAAAAGATAAGATATTTATTTTTTAATTTTCATTATTCAATGCTGCTTTAAAGTACTAAAGATTTTATTTAAATATTTATTCTTTAATTAATTAATATTTAGTTATACAGATACAGAATTCATAAATGTGAATTTAATTTTGAAATATTTTTTTTTTTGAATATTTTTTGAATTTAAAATAAAATTTTTGATGTGTTTTTTTTTGGCATTAGCTTACTCAATATATTGCTATTAATATTATTACAATTCTAATACCAAATTGTTTATTATAATTATAAAATTATAAATAATTATAATTTGAATTATTTTTATTCAAAAGGTAAGTTATTGACTTTTTAACTTTATTATTTTAGTGCTGTTTTATATTATAGTACCTCTGGGTTTTATTCAAATACTATTTTTTAAATTGGTTAGTGCTCAGATATATGGATGTAATATTTTGGATAACTTGATTTTACAAATTGAATAGGCTATAATATTATACAAAAGCATTACATCTCAATATTAGTAATTTAATTAATGCAATAATATCAAGTAGCAAATTGTAAGAATAGTTATATTTATAGAATTCTTAATAGATTGTAATATTATTAAAAACATATTTATAAAAAAAAACTAATTAATTTCATAAAACAAGTAATAATTTTCTTATAATTTAAACTTTAATCTAGAATTTTTTAAGACTAAGATAATATTTATATAGTTAAGCCTGAGTATTATTCAAAAATTAGACTAATAGGTATCAGTAATATAAATTCAAAAAATTTCTATCTGTGCAAACACAAAAAAAATTTATATATATACTATATATACAGAAAGTACTGATATATATGCAAATTTAATTTTATATATGCTGTACCTATTGCATAAACCCAATTTACATTATTGATAGATATAGTAAATAATATCTAAGTTTTAATTATAGAACATAAAATTATTATACAAGTAACTCTTATTAATATCAACCTATTTAGATCAGATAAGTTTGTTAATATATATAAATGTTAATAATAAAGAGAGATTGTATTACAACAGTTTTAACTAATTAAAAAATATTTTAAAAATACTAGCATAAATTTTAGAATGTATAGTATATACTTACATTCTATAAATTGCTATATACAAGACCTGAGTCTGTTACCAGTTTTAAAACTGTATATATAACCAAGAGTTTATTTGTAAGAAGTAGAATCTTAAGATATATACATATTAATATTTAGTTTAGATATTTGAATAAAGCTTTAAAAATCTTATAGGTTACTATTAGGTCTAATAGTAATAGTGTATTTACTATCAAAAAAGATCTTTTATATAATAATTTACAATATATATGCAATTAAATTTGTATTTTACTTTTTATATATTAATCTAGTCTTATTTTGAATATTTTAAATTATATATTCAAATCATAACTATTTTATAAATTACAAATCTTAATTGCACTAAAGTATTTTTAACAACAACTCTCCTTGATGATCACTTGTACTGAATTTTACATCAACAAAAACAGAAAACTTATTAAAGAAAGTAGAAGAGGCTACTATATAAATAATGGTTTTTATAAAGATCAAAGTAGTTTTTCTATACTGGACTCCTTTATATATTTAGCAAGCAAACTAAAAGCATGCATATACAAAATAACTGACAAGAGGTGCTCTTGTATAACAAATTTTAGTAGAAGTCTCAGCTTCTGTTAACGAAGTTAAAATAGTAGACCTTATAGGAGAATAATAAGCAAGTTTTCAACACATTTACTAGAAATTCAAGGATACCTGCTAACTGAACATTACTATCATATTCCTTACTTGGTTTTTGACAGAAGTTTTTACAAGAAGTAGGAATTTAGCATACCCCCTATGAAAGATCTACAGAAATCGTCCATTTTGGGAATAGAAGAATTATTCCTTTTTTGGAACTAGAAGTAACTTTAATTAGAGTGAAAGGGTTGGCTATAGAACTAGTGGAAAAGAAATTAAACACTGACATCTCTATCATCGAATGATATTTATATATAGTATAGACCTATTTCTAGAATAAAGACTAGGAGTAGCAGTACTATATAATTTTTATAATTTGCTCTGACTGAGGCTTTGGTCCTCTTTTTGTTTTTTCTTTTCTTACTATTACATGTTTGTTTTGCTGTTTTGTTTTGATTTGAGTTTTGTTTGTTTACTTTTAGTCATTTTCTTATTTGTATTCAATTTTATAATACCCTTTTTTTTCGGCTCTTTGAGAAGAAGAAAGAATTTAAAGAAAGGATTAAAAACAGTTAATGCTTGTCTCAGAAGAGAAAAATCCTTTTAGGTACAGCTTTAAGTAACCAGATAAGCAGTCTACCTCTAATTGGGATAGTGCAGCAGGTCACACTTAGATATCAATAAGATGGCTAGGTGATGCTGGACTTAGTTATTAGGAAAATTCTATGTAGTTATTGTATATAGTTGCAAGAATCTTAATAAAGTACTAGTGTGGCTGCTTAAGAGTAAAAAAAAAAAACTAAAGTATTTTTAAATCACTATTTTTATTTTTTTTAGTAATGAAATACTATAAGTTTGACAATAATAAAACTATATAAAGTCATATTGTTATGTAACAGATAAAAAAAGGAAAAATAAAATTCTAATATAAAAAAAAAAATTAAAAAAAAAAAAAAAAAAAAAGGCAAGTATTGTAGTCTATTTTACTTTTATATATTTTAAACCATTTCTAATTAAAATTAAACCACTTTTAAAAAAATTAATTACTTTTTTTTGCATTTTTGATCAAGATACATTCAATCAAATTTGTTTCAACAATCTTAGCAGTTGAGATAGGTCTTGATTTTTAATAAATTTTACTAGTTCTTGTTATTTTACATATTGTATAAGCAACTTATATTGCTCTAAGGTAACAGAATAAAAAATTTTTTCAATTTCAATATTGCTTTCATCACTACTACTATTAGAATTAGATTGAAAAAGAATTTCTTTAAGAATAGCAGCTTCATTCAAAACAATCTCTTTCATTTTAAAATTATTATCAGTTTGAATATACTTATTAACAGCTATTATTCTTATATAATTAGATAAAATTTCTGCAATAAGGTTTTCTACTTCTACTTTTGTTTTAATTTTACTTTTAGCTTCAACTACATCTTCAGTTTTGACTTAATTTCACTTTCAACATCAACTCCATCTTTAGCTTTAACTCCAGTTCTTGCTTTAATATCTTCACCATTTTAATTTAATCTATTCCACTTATTTGATGGCACTATTTTAGTTTTTCTTTAGCAATTAACAATTGTTTTAGTGATTATATTGTCTTATGCTTCTGTAACAAACCTAATTGCAGTAATATAAACTTGAATAACAATAAGAAAAAAATCTGTAAAACATGTTTTTTAAATTTACTTAACATCTGTTCTTAATTATTTAGACAGTTTTTTGATATAGCAATTGCAGTATTAAACACTACTAGTGTGATTTAATAATGTTAATATTCAAAAAGCATAATTTATAAGTTTTTTTCTGCTATTACTTATTTATAAAAATTTCTTATTAATTAGTTAATTCAATTCTTAAATAATTAATTTGCTAATTTTGTTTTATTTTTGAAAGGTTTTTTTTTTGTTTTTTTTTCTTTTAATATTTTTAGTTTATATATTATTTTATTGTTTCTAAGACATTAAGATAAGGTATTTCTTTCTCAGTATTAATAGTATCTAAAATACTTTGAAGATACAATTTTTGATAATAAAATTTAAATGAATAAATAATTCTAACATCACATAACTGCAAATAAGATGTTGTATAAGGTGATAAAATGTGAAGTTTAATATAAATATATTCATTATTTGAATAAAATAATGCACTATCAATTAATAAAAAAATTTTTTTTTGTTTTAGTTAACACAAGATATTTAAAGATTTCATCCAATGTTCAAAAATAATACTTGTCATCTATGCTTTCTGGCTAGCATTATATATTACACTAATATTTTCTTTCTAAATACCTTTAAAACAATACAGTTTTAGTAATTTTCCTATTATTAATGGTGTTACAAAGTAGATTTTTAGCATAGCATAGTATATTATATTATTAGTAGTTGTTATATATTTATTATTGTATTTT